TTCCTCTTTTTTACTTCTATAAATTAAACATTCTCAAAATAATATTAATAAACATATCATTTAAAACAAAATACATAAATAAGTCTCATGAGCATGTAATTTCTTGATTTTTGTGTACTCTATCCTATTGATGATTACTATTTATTACACTTCATGACAGACAGTTACGGAGGTTTTCTTCACATGTATCATAAACACTTAATTCTGGGAAATAATTCAAAAAGTATTCAGATTAAGTCAATGTTCACTTTGTAAAATTTGAACAAAACGAAGGTATTCTAAGAGATTTTCAGAAATCCAATTAGAGTCATGCCATATTGTATTGTAATAGATTGGACTGATGTGTGTATATTTGACTAAATTGTTCGGTTTTTCTCTAGTTGTGGCAAGCAGGGGTTACTCTCAAGTTGCAGTGCATGGGCTTCTCACCGAGGTGGCTTACTGGGGAGCCTGGGCTCCAGCGGGCATGGGCTCCAGTAGATGAGGCACATGGGTTCAGTTGTCCTATGGCATGTGGAATCTTCCTGGGCCAGGGATTGAACCCATATCCTCTGCACTGGCAAGTGGATTCTTAACCACTGGACCACCAGGGAAGTCCAGGACTTTCATTTTAAAGAAAACCAGTTACATTTTAAACAAACTTAAAGACATACAATGCCTTCATTTTTTATTTTTTTTAAAGTAAAACTAAACATATATACACAGATGCATGTGTATCCATTAGTCACTTAGTTGTGTGTGACTCTTTGTGACCCCGTGTGTTATAGCCTGCCAGGCTCCTCTGTCCATGGAATTTTCCAGGCAAGAATACTGGAGTGGATTGCTGTTTCCTTCTCTGGGGATCTTCCTGACCCAGAGATTGAACCTGGCTCTCCTGCATTGCAGGCAAATTCTTTACTGCCTAAGCTATCAGGGAAACCCTACACAGATATGTGTACGACACATATAAATATATAGTATAAATATATACATCTGCATATATATATATATATATATATATATATACACACACACACACATAACTTCTTATAATAGCATTACAATAACCCCTTTATTGAGTGCCTAATATACCCCAAGCACTATTCCCAGTGTGCTTGTACTTGTGATGCATCTCATATAAGTATTTTGATACAGGTAAAGTTAGCCCCATGTTACAGTGTATGAAATGGAGCCTCAGAGAATTTAGGTAACTAGCTTGAGGGCACCTAGCTGCTAAGTGGCAGTGCTATGGAAAATTGGTACTTTGTTCCCAGTAACCAATTAGCAATGCTACCTCATCACATCTGTTACCCCTAGGTGTAACATGATGAGAAAAAGTAAGACTTTCCACTCATGGTCATAGATCAAGGAATTTGACTTATTCAGAATGTATGCAGTTACTGACAGTATGATGTTAAATCCTTTATTGATTTCTGTCATGGCAGCACACTTTCTAATAAAATAGGGTTTGTGAGGCACTTAGGCCTAAAACAAATGGACACAAAAAAGAGTTCTGAGGATATGTGGTTTATAATATTCTTATTCTGTTTCCACTGGCTTAAGAATTTGATTAGAATCCATTAAAAATCCTTAATTGAAACACAGTGTTGGAACATAAAGAACAAAGTGATTAAAGCCACATAACCGGACAAACACCTGGATAAGTAGCCACCACCGCCACAGAGGAGGGACAAGAACCGCTCAGGCACATCCTCTAATGAGGTGTCAGCGCTGAAGGCTGCTAGCAGACTTTTGCTGGAAAGCAGCCTTCCTGTGATGCTGAATCAGGGATGGGAATAAACTGAGAAGATCTGGAGACTGATCACACACACACACACACACACACACACACTCCTAACACTTGGTGTCTAATAGCCCACATAGTAGCATGACCATTCAGTATAAACAACTGCTGACTAGTGTGATATTTTTATGTTAGGTATTAACTTACTTGCATACTTTAAAATTGAAAAGGAAATCCTTAAAATTATGCTTACCAAAGTGTATCTGACTCATCTTCTCTAAAGTCTAACCATGACACTCTCTAGCGGTAATATTTGACACTGTCCCCGTGGAGTTCAATTTATGGCCTTACTCCAGTTCTGCAGAACCAGAAGGCCCGCCTCCTTTATATCCATATATGGGAACATTTTTCCTGTAGTTAAGTAGACTCTGGGAAATGTTAGCCTTGGAACCTAGGAAATATTAACAGAACCAAAGTCTCTATCTCTCTTGGTCATTATCCTTAGGTGACGAAGTTTGAAAACAGAAGTTGTAATTAGAACTTTTGAAACAAAACAGTCAGAAAGCAAAATTCAGAGGCAACAGATGTTTGCTTATAAATTCATTGTTTACTACATGTGCAATAGAAGTAGGAGCCTGACTTGAACTTGAACTGGGTTAACTTAAGACAGACTCAGACAACTATTAGAAACAAAGACCAGAGTCAAAGAATCTGCAGTTCCCCTTCTAGGAGACTGCGGTCTTTCGCCAGAGCAAAAGTCTCACCTATTCAATGAAAGGCATAGTCAAATCTGATCTGAAATAGGCTTAATTCCATCTTCCAGTTGGGTCAAGCTTCACTTCAGTTCAGTTGCTCAGTCGTGTCCTACTCTTTGCGACCCCATGGACTGCAGCATGCCAGGCTTCCCTGTCTATCACCAATCCCCGAGTCTTACTCAAACTCATGTCCATCATGTCAGTGATGCCATCCAACCATCTCATCCTCTGTCATCCCCTTCTCCTCCTGCCTTCAATCTTTTCCACCATCAGGGTCTTTTCCAATGAATCGGTTCTTCACATCAGGTGGCCAAAGTATTGGAGTTTCAGCTTCAGCATCAGTCCTTCCTGTGAATATTCAGGACTGATTTCCTTTAGGATTGACTGGTTGGATCTCCTTGCTGTCCAAGGGACTCTCAAGAGTCTTCTCCAACACCACAGTTCAAAAGCATCAATTTTTCAGTGCTCAGCTTTCTTTATAGTCCAACTCTCTCATCCATACATGACTACTGGAAAAACCATAGCTTTGACTAGACAGACCTTTGTTGGTAAAGGAATGTCTCTGCTTTTTAATATGCTGTTTAGGTTGGTCATAGCTTTTCTTCCAAGGATCAAGCTTTTCTTCTAAGGGTCAAGCTTAAGAGTTGGTAAAGGTCAAGTTAGGTCTGCAAATGTGTTTGATTTATAAACCTAAACTGACTTCCATTCTGGGGACAAAACTAAAAAGGTCACTCCTTTCCTAAATACTTTGGAAATAAGCAGGCTTCACAGTTTTGGAGGATAAGCCAAATGGAAAGTTTTTAGGTTATGGAGTCTTCATAGTTGGAAACCACACTCATAGTAAAGAGAGTCCAAATATTAGTTATTTTTTTAGTCCCTGGAATTCTAGACTAGTAAAGAAAATTCTAGGCCAGTGCATCTAAATCAGGGAAGATGTTTTGGATAGTGTATTTTAAAAGCTGATGTAAAGTCAAGGAGAAAGGATGAAGGGGACATAGAGAGGGATAACAGAACAATGAGATGCTAGGGGAAAATGTTTTTAGCATAACTCATGGATGTCTAGGAAAATTCGGGAAAGAATGCTCACTACCACGTCAGGTTAGCACCTCTCTGCTATGTTTACTCTCCTGTATTCCTCTCTCTTCACTGCCAATGCCCATCCCATGCCACCTCCAAGTCAGAAGATTCTAGAATGTTGGAGCAAATTGAGAGAGAAGAAAAGAAGAAACCAATTAGGTGGGAACAGCTGGAGATTTTTTAGGTTCTATCCACTTCCATGTGTGACTGGGCACACACAGTCTTTTTTCATGCCTATTACATGTTTGAAACAGAGATAAACACAAATGAGAAGAAACAAAATGAGATGGCAAAGAGACATGCTAGGTATCACTGCCTCTGGGGAGCCATCTTTAAACTTTCCCTCTTCTCCGACCCCTGCCCTCCCCTCTAAGAGAGTGAGATGTTCCTCACTATATCCCCATAGTGCATTGGTGATATTTTGTTATGCCTATCACTCTGTATTTTATTGTTTGCTTATATGGTTTTAACCCCACCTGGACTGCAAACTACTTAGAACCAAGATATCTATGACATGTACTGTGTGTCTGAAGTAATGGGTAGAATATTGTGATTTCCCACATTTCATAGTAAAGGATGAAATATAGGAAGCATGTAACTGTTCCAATAAAACCTCATGATAAAATAATTTATGACTTACTCTTTATTATAGTTTAGGTATTTAAGTTTATAGTGATGAGCCTCTTTTTAATGATCTGAGTAGTTAGTGGCTAGAAGGATAAAGGTAAACAGTATCCCAGTACAACTATGTTATTAACACATAATAGAAAAGTGTGGGTATCTATGCAAAAGTGAATTGATCATGATATTAAAGTGATTCAGTCACAGAAATTAAATTAACTAAAACAATTCATTCATTTTAGCCATTTTACTTCTAAAATAATGAATCATGCCATTTTATCCGGTTCTGATATCCTTCAAGTCAAAACAATCAATATTAATGAAGTCAGAATTACCAAGTGAACTACTCTGTATGTCCATTAATACTGTTTCACAGAAACTTCATTCACTATGACTCAACACATATTTACATGTTGAGATTGAGGTCTGTACATGATTATGTTTATAGGAAGAATTCTAAATCCAAAACCACCTCATTGGTTCAGATAATATGAACTATGGTGAAACTTTAGCACACTAAAAAATCTGGAGGATCCTCTACCATTCCAACAGAATTTCAGACCAAACCCCCAAGACTGATTAAAGTCATATTTTTGTCACCTCCTTCTCCCTAATCTTATAAAGCTAGATAATTAACTACCTAGAAAATATGGCACATATTAATTACAGTGATCAGGTTAACTCAAAGAACTTATATATTTTTGTTGTCACATATTTATATGGGTAAGCTTATTTCAGTTTTCAAAATACACTTTGGTCTAGAATTGCACATACTTCCCAATGTGAGAGTAAACCATAATGCCTCATTTTATCCTCCATTACAGAAGACAATAGATGTGCATCTTCGAATGCAGTGTCCTGCACCAAATGCCTTGCGCTGGGTCCGGAATGTGGATGGTGTGCTCAAGAGGTGTGCCTTTTTCCTTTCTTTCCCTTTTGGATCCTTTGTCTTTTCCTGAAAGTGACCTTGCTAGCATGATTTCATTGACCTAATATTCTGTGCCTTGAAGATGCATCAGGAAAAAAGAAAGATATTGTTGAACATGAGGAAAATGTTCTTTGGTTTTATGCTTGGAAACAGCATGTTTGGCTGACTATAAGTATAACCTTTTTATTAGGAAAATTATGGTAATTTTAAAATGAAGTGCAAACCATTTTATGTTTTCCATCTGTTCTATAGAGAGAATTGGCAAACACAGATAGTAACTTTTGATGGGTCATAGGCTTTGTGTGAAATTCTTGCTGCAGCTTGGGGCATTAGGTTATATATCCAAGTTGGATCGTTGTTTTGTGCTTGCTTATTAAAGAAAAGCAAGCTAATTTATTATTCCATTTCATTTGTTTTTATTTTAAATACTTGGAGATAAATGATTTGCTCCCTTTCATAACACTGAACATCAATTCATTGACTACTTATGGAAAATTTGATGCTTTTGTTTGACATGTGACCCTATTCATGCAATATTGTGTACATTTAAATTCTGTGACATACAGAATAATCAGAAAGTGTTTATTCTTCAAAATTAGTATTTTTGTAGTCAAATAAAGAGAAACATATCCCAATAACAAACTTTTTAGGAAAACAATTACAGTGTTTTCCTTCCTTGTTGGGCTCTAAAGTTGTTTTCAGTTATTTCTTTTGTTGGTAATTGTCAATCAAAACTACCTTATATATTAAGTTTCAATGAGGAAGCCATCTGCTAATTTGGGGTTTTTAATGAGATTTCCTAGGTAGCTTACAATTATTTATGTAGTTCCTAGAAATTGAAACTAATAGGCTTTTAATGGCCTTTTGCTTGGCGTGAAGAGAAATCTTTAGCTTTTGCAACGTCTTGATTTAGTTGAAAAAACTGTACCTATCACTATCTTTACAATCTCTCCTGTTACTGCTTGCCCTTATGCATCCCCCAGGAGGAAACAGAAAAATGAAAAGTAGCAAAGGATGATGGTCAATACTTTCTTCTATGCAGCAAGTCAGGAAAAAGGCAGGGGAAGGGCTCATGAATAGTCACCATGTCTATAAGTAAGCAGTCCCCCTGCTGACAGCCTGAAAGCTTCCTGGATGTACCATGGGCTTTATCAGTCAGAAAAACAGATGCCACTCAAAACTAGGCACTGCTTTGCCAGAACTCATGGAGCCAAGCAATGTAATAGGACAATTCCAGAGTTTCCAGGAGCAATTTCATTCCTCCTATGATCCAAATGACCAGACAGAATTCACTCTTTTCTCTGAGCCTTCCTTTCCTCATCTCTACAGCCTAGAGTTTGGAGCTTACTTCCAGGTTTTCCTTGTCAGGTATGCTTGATATTCATTGATATGTTGATATTTCCTGACCCTCACCCAACATTCCATTTTAGATTTTCACTGCAGCACTAAGGAAGATCATTGCCCTGGAGAAGGAAATGGCAACCCACTCCAGTATTTTTGCCTGGAGAACTCCATGGACAGAGAAGCTTGGCAGGTTACAGTCGATGGGGTCGCAAAGAATCTGATATGACTGAGTACAAGGCACATGCTGAGCATACACAAAGAAAGATTACTGCAGTTGTGAAGACTGTGCCAACTTAACTTCAGTTCCTTAGAACCTTAGCGATTATAGTTTAGAGGAATTTTCAAAACATGGCTCAGAAACCCAGTTGTCAGCTAAGTGCAAGATGCCAGCCATACAGAATCAGTCAGCTTCCAGAGAGCACCCTTCTCCATTTCACACCTCTTCTGGCACGAAAAATTGGAAGAGTCACAATTATGGGAGCAGCAATGTCAGTCCTGGAACAGAGGAGGGATTTTATATATTCAGAGGGGGAATAGGTGGTCAACTGGAAGGAGGTAAGCCAAGAAGGAAAGGTGGGGTGGCTTCCAGAGGTGTTTGCTGTTGGTCCAATCTTCAGAAGGGGATCTCAGAAAACACCCACAAATGACTTGGCTGTTCATGTCCCAAAATATTCTTCTATGTGGTACAAGGTAGCCTAATATTTGTGTTGAAAAACCAGGCTCTGAAATGAGATCAACTGGGATTCAAATCCCAGTTCCATCAGTTTCCAACTATGTATACTTGGCCATGTTAACCTACCCACTGTGAACCTCAGTTTTCCCTAATTCTAAAATGGAAATAATAATTGAAACTATAACAAGTGGTGGAGTTTAAATGAAACTGTATGTGGGAAGCATTTGGCACACAGGCATTGCTTAAGTTACTATAAGAGCTGCAGTGAGACTCAAGCAATTCATTCAGACTTAAGAAAATTGCCTGAATTAAGAACATGTTAGAGGAAGCAACCTGTGTTAAGATTCAGTCACACTAGAAGATAAAATATTTGGTTTCCTTTGTTTGCTGGGTCAGTCTATTGTACTTTATTTTTGTTGGACTGTTTTGATTTTGCTTATGTGTGTATATTCAATCACAAGTGTGTATATTCAGTCACATGTGTATACTCAGTCACACTTTTTATTGTTGTCATAAATCTCAGCCTCTACACTGGGCTTTTGCAGTTCTATGCAGTTTTCCTTTTTTTTTTTTCTTTCTTCTTCCTTTTTTTTTCCTTTTCTCTTTTTTATAATTTTAATTTCTTTAAACCTATTATATTTTTTCTACATTTATTCCTTTATTTGCCTTTCCTACTGTACTTTTCCCCTTGCAGTTAATCTTTGATATATATAAATCTTCATCCACCTCTATTTAACTTTGCATATCTATTCTTTCTTTTCTTTCTTGCCTTCCTTGCAACTTATTAGTTTTGTTTTCATTGCTTTATTTCCCACTTGGCACCTTGCTTTAGTTTTATTTTCCAGTTTGTGCTTTAGTTTTGTTCTTAACTGGAAAATATAATTTTTTATTTCCTATGTTTACTGAATCAATCTACTGTATTTTATTTTGTTGAATGGTTTTTACTTTGCTTATGGGTGTATATATATATATGTGTATATTCCATTATTTTAATTTTTATTTGCCTAATTTTGTAACTGCAATTTATCTGGGGTTCAACTTTGGTTTTTCAGTTTTGGGTATTTGTTTTAATCTCACTTAATGCCATAACAAACCGCTTGTGGAATCTTAGTTCCTGACCAGAAATCAAGCCCTGAGCCTTTGAAGTGGGAGCATTGACTCCAAGACCCTAGACTACCAGAGAACTAACTCTAGGGAGTATGAAATAGTGAGAACTCACACAGAGGAAACTGCTTAAATATAAGACTGGGTGTCACCCAACCACCAGTAGCATCCTGTGCAGGACGCCTCATCTGAACAACAAACAAAACAAAAATACAAACCCAGTCATCAGCACACAGGAGTACCACCTCACTCAGCCTTGCCCATCAGAGGAAAAGCAAACAAAACTCAGCACAAATCTCACCCTGTATGAAGCTTACACAAACCACTGGACCAACCTTGGGAGGGCAGAAACCAAAAGGGAGAAAGAATTCAACCTTGAAGCCTAGGAAAAAAGAGACCTCAAGCACAATTAGTTAAAAAACAAAATGAAAAGGGAGAGAAATACTACACAATTGAAGGAACAAACTAGAAACACAGAAGTCCAAATAAATAAAGAGGAAATAGGCAAATTACCTGAAAAAGAATTCAGAATAATGATAGTAAAGGTGATAAAAACCTTGAAAACAAAATGGAGAAAATGCAAGACTCAATTAACAAATACCTAGAATAATAAAAGAATAAACACATAGAGACAAACAACACAATTACTGAAATTAAAAATACTCTAGAAGGAATCAATAGCAGACTGTCTGAAGCAGAAGAATGAATTTGTGAGCTGGAAGATAAAATGGTGGAAATAACTTCTGAAGAGCATAATAAAAGTAAAAAGAATGAAAAGAACTAAGGACAGGTTCAGAGGCCTCTGGGACAATATCAAACGCACCAACATTCGAATTATAGGGGTCCAGAAGAAGAGGAGAGAAAGAAAGGGAATGAGAAAATTTTTGAAGAGATTATAGTTGAAAATTTCCCCAACATGGAGAAGGAAATAGTCAATCAAATCCAAGAGGCACAAAGAGTCCCATACAGGATAAACCCAAGGAGAAACATGCCAAGACACATATTAATCAAACTAACAAAGACTAAACACAAAGAAAGAATATTAAAAGCAGCAAGAGAATATCAACAAGTAACATACAAGGGAAACACTATATGCTTAACAGCTGATCCTTCAGCAGAAACTCTGCAGGCCAGAAGGGAACAACAGGATATATTTAAAGTACTGAAAGGGAAAAATCTACAACCAAGCTTACTGTACCTGGCGAGGATCTCATTCAAAATTGATGGAGAAATGAAAAGCTTTTCAGATAAGCAAAAGCTAAGAGAATTCAGTACCACCAAACTAGCTTTACAACAAGTGTTAAAGGGACTTATATAGTCAAGAAATACAACAGAAGAAAAAAGATCTACAAAACCAATCCCAAACAATTAAGAAAATGGCAATAGGAATATATACATATATATATATACACACACACACACAAATAATTACCTTAAATGTAAATGGATTAAATGCTCCAACCAAAATACACAGACTGGCTGTATAGATATAAAAATAAGACCTATATATATGCCATCTACAGGAAACCCACTTCAGACTTCAAGACACATATAGACTGAAAGTGAGAGGATGGAAAAATATATTCCATGCAAATGGGAAGCAAAAGAAATCTGGGGTAGCAATCCTATCAGACAAAATATACCTTAAAATAAAGAAGATTACAAGAGATAAGGAAAGACACCACATAATGATCAACGGATCAATCCAAGAGGAAGACATAATAATTGTAAATACCTATGCACCAAAAATAGAAGCACCTCAATACATAAGACAAACACTAACAGTCATAAAAGAAGAAAATGACAGTAATGTAATAAAGGTAGACTTTAACACCTCACACATACCAATGGACATATCATC